CGGTCGTGTAGGGATGCAGTCTTTCCTAGGCGGTTGCACAAGAAAATAAAATTATTGGATTTCGAAAAGGCTCGATCGAATACAGAGAGCAATTGCAAGGGAACGTGTCATCTTACTGCATGTACAACCGGAGAATGGGCGAACAATAGTTGCATCGAACCATGCAGTGCTACCAAATGTAGCGCTATATCAAACGTTTCTAAAGAACAGGTTCTAACCCTCGACTCAATACTAACCTTATAGAAGTTTAGTGCTTTTCCGGAAGTACTCCCACCTTCCCCTGCCCTGTTTCTGTCAGAATCCCCGACATGAGTGGCCAACGAGCTACGGTAAGCGCACCAGCCCTCTCAGTACTTTGCATACTTACAGGTAGTTCCACGTAGCATGTACTGTACACGGACAAAACAGTGTGCTGTATTGTATCGAGGTAGCAGTTTTCGCAATAATTAAATATACGGACACACGCACCGAACAGTAAATTGTCCACTAATTCTTCGCTAAATATAACTTGTACAGTGGAATGTGGGTTTATGTAGATTCCTGGCTACAACGAAAGCGTAGTTTAACTCGTTTCACAGACCGAATTCGCACACATCCACACAGTATTCATTTTGATAGTGTCAAGCTAGCTGTACTGTGCAATGCAAAAAATACAGACAGTCTAGTCAATCAGACAGTTCATGACTAGTTGCCCACCACTGCATCTGGTGTGAGAAAGTGCGTTCCTATAGGTGGTTCCTATACGCTGAGGCGAATCTGCGGTGGCCTATGTTACACCAGCCCACCATCTAACGCACTGCTTATATGTTAAGAAGAAACTAGCAAATAATTGTCTCATTGGTTTGCTTGTTCCAATATCTTATATATCAACGAAGAGTCTAACCTCGATACAACAAGGTGCAATGTGTTGTGTTCGTATGTGCTAGATACTGCGTGCGAAACTAATTGCGAATGCCCCCAGTGCACATAAGGTACTGCGACGCATCCTGTGGCCATCGCTCTTTCCTCGCTTTGGAAACTCTGACTGACGCGAGCAGAGGACAGCTGGAGCTCCCTTAAGAGAAAGTACTCCAACTTACTATTAGGATTGTGTACTGAATTTATAGCTAATTCTCCCTACGGAGATGCAGCGTCGCACCACGAGTGGGGGGCTCATTTGAACACTCAAAGAATGGTCTTCTCTTGAGTCATGACTTAGATTGTGGGTCGGGGTTTTATTTGGAGAGCAGGGGATGGGTGCTAAGCGCGCAGAAAGCCAGCACACCGTTCTGCTTGCCGTAGTACGTTGCAAGACACCTACGTCATTGAAACATTCGCATCTGTACTAAGTGCTGCTGTCTGTTACGTAAATTATGATATAGCGGTGAGCTCTTTGCTTTCGCCTGAGGCTTGAAAGGTTTCTTTTGCCATTGGAATGTTCATCGGAATGTCCTTGTGGTCGAGGCGGACTCAGGTTGAGCGAAGCCGCTAAGGGCAAAGGCATTCAATCACGAGGTAAGCAAATGGGCTCTTGAGAGGTATGGGTGTGTTTTTTAGGGGGCTCAACATAGCTGGGCTTCATGGGGAAAGCTCGCCATGAGTAGCGGCATTACAGGCCTCTGCTAGACCCTCGCTACTGGCTTGCATGATGCGCGGGCTGCCCAGCAGCACCAATATCGTTTGTTTAGTCTAGGACGAAGGACGGGTTCATCTCTGTCTAGGCGCAGATCATTTGAATACAGCACCGGTAAAAATTAACGAAAAGGCTGCGTCTGATACTGGAGAGGGCAGTACGATCAAGCAAGGCTGCTTGTGCGGCCCACGCCCTTCCCCACCCCTGCTGCGGTGCTTGCTGCTGCGCTCATGCGCCTGTGCGATTGCTGGTTTCACATTCATAGCTGCTTCTCTGACACTCTTTCGCTTCTCTGTTTCTGTCCGTTTTTTTGTTCGAGAGTTTTTGCGGTCCTCTGCTTCAGTTAAGTCCTTCCTTAACCCCAGTCAATTCCAAGGTGGGCAGCAGCAGCCAGTTGTGCGCGGCGGGTGCGCGTCAGTTTTTCTGAGCCTTCATGCTTCTTCTTTTCTGTTTCTTTTCTTCGTTAGTCCCGTTAGTTTGCCGTTTGAGCTTCTCTGGCTCTATGTCTTACCCCGATAGGCCTCCCGGCCGCCACCTCTCGCTATTCTTGCCGCTCGGTTCACTGCTGCTGCTGTATAGCCTCGACAGCTGTTCTCCTACTCTTCGAGTCCCCTTGCTTCCAGTTTTTGACTGTTTAGCGAGATTTCGTTGGTCATTTACTGCTATTGCCCCCCTGGGCGCTGCCCTCTCTTGAGTGGCGCTTTTGTATTGCGTCGCGCTTTCATCGTCGCCTCCGTTATTAACCCCAGACTCTTTTACTGAGCCATCCTGCTCTGCGTTCGCACAGGATACACTTATGTCCCTCGAGTTTCAGAACTTCGGCGTCTCTGACCCCTTTGCCAATGACACCACCAAGGCTGGTGGTGTTGGCGGCAACGCTTCTACGCATCTCATCCGTAAGCTGCATCCCCCCGTCAGGGGAACTCCAGCTGCATTTCCTGCATCTGTGTCTGCGGCTTCTTGTGATTACTCATTGTTCATATTCTCAGCGTGTGTTTCGTTACTTCGGGGCGAGGTTGTAAGCTGTCTTGTCGCGCCGCCCGCAAATATCCGCACATGCAGACATTTGAGATGAATGTCTTTCCTGTGCAGATATAAGAAATCAGCAGCGGAATGGCCGCAAGAGTGTGACTACGGTCCAAGGTCTTCCGAAGGCCTTTGATCTGAAGAAGATGGTTCGAGCCCTTAAAAAGGAGTTTAGTTGTAACGGCACCGTTATCGAAGACCCCGAGCATGGCAGCATCATTCAGCTGCAAGGCGATCAGCGGCAGGCAGTAAAGGAGTTTCTTGAGCGCGAAGGGATTTGTGGATCCGAGCAGCTGCGCATACACGGCGTGTAAGCAGATACCTCAACTACCTTTCGCTCGGTCCTTCTTTAGTAGAGGAAAAAGAAGCCCCTACTTCATAAGCAACTGTGCGTATGACATGCAGTGGTTCAAAAGGGCATAGTTCCTCGCTCCATTTTGATGCTTTCTTGTTTTTCACTTGGTTGATCATATCAGCTAGCCAAGGGGCATTCAAGAGGGATCTTTCTTTATATGTGCATATTTCTAGACAAGTTCTTATATTCGTGCAGTAGATTACGGTCGGCGGAGAGGGGGGTGGTTTGTAGTAGCCGCGCAGATGGTGGGGTCCCCTATTCATCGGGTATATGGGTCCTGAGAATGCTGGGGGGTTTCTTGACTCTGTCGCTCATGCTGGAGAACCTGGGGGGGCCTCCAGCTCAGCAGTCTATGTGCGTGTTGGCCCCCGCGTATTGGTACAGCAAGGTCAGAGGTACTGCCCTTTTGCATGCAACGGACGCCGGGAACTTGGGTTCCATTTTGTTCCTTGGCACCGTGCAAGAAACTTGCATGCACTTCGCGTGCAGTCAAAATAGAGGTTTTGTAGGTAGCGTAGCGCTGTGGAGAGCGCAGATTCTCCCCTCACATGCCAGGCATCTAGCAGCCATAGCTTTTTCTGGTAGGCGCAGCGAGGTGACGATTACAGGTTCAGTGTCGCATAGTTTCGATGTCAGTAGGTGCTACCAGGGCCTGTGCGGACACGTCGATGTGCCGCAAGCTGAGAAGAGCCTGAGAAGGGGATTCTTCATTCGCCTTATTCTGCCTGGTTACGGGGGCAGCAGAGCGGAATCAAATACACGCTAGACTTGGTTGCCAAACAATGGGCTGCCTGGCTTGAAAGGTAAAATGGACCAAGTGGTGCGGCGGGCCTTGCATCGGCAATGGGCTGAAGACTTTTTTGCATGTCAGCGATAGGCGGTTAGATGACTGCAGTGCTAGTATGGCATACAAGAGCAGCCTGGCTAGCCGAAGTGGCAGGGTAGCCTTCGCGGCAGCCTTCTTTTAGGTGTAGAGGGCGGGTGTAGGAAACATGGTAGGGGCGTTACAGTGTACAGCGGCAAGCAGTTCCCACAGTAGAGGTGGTTTCACAAACATTTGGCCAGGAGACGATAACTAGAGGCTGGAGGATATTGTAACGCGATATGTTGCTACTGTTTGCCCCTCACGAATAAGTGGGCGTGTGCGTTGTACCTCACGGGATCGCGGGGCGGTGGTCCTGCACGCAGCACAGAAAACACTGGAACCGAGTTTCTCCACAAGACTCAAGATATTCGTTTTGATGTACCCCAGTGGTAACAACTGTGGCTAAGCCCGCTACATCTTCCTGCATGGAACTTCAATGCACACTTCCGTCTGTTCTGAGGCGGGCTCATACGCTTGAACACATTCTACTATTCCAGGTATAAAAAAATACCCAAGAATTAGGGAAGAAATGACTACCCAGTTTGACTCTTCGTATCTTATTTTTTCTGCAGAAGAGCCTATCCTCGACACAAGAGGACGCAAGGTCTTTCCCGTGTGCGCCAGTTTCTGTGAGCAGCTAGTTTGTATGTTCGGAGTGCTTGCGCACCGTAGCTGGCTCTTTACGCTCATGCTGAGAGCTCTGAGGGACACGTGATAGGGGAACCTGTAATTCCTTATAAAAGCACTTCGCAAACTCCCAGCAGGTTTGTATTGAGCTGGTAGTTAAGCTCCTCCTAGGGTGTCACATTTGGTAGTGCGACATGGTTCAATGCGGCTGTTGTTCGCCCTATCTCCGGCTGTGGATGCACATAGATGACATGCCCCCTTGCACCCACTGTCTGTGATGGGCTGTCATTTGGTTATCCAGTAATTTGACTTTCTTCGGCAACAGGATGAGAAGAAAACCGCCTAGAGATAGAAGGTGACGGTAGCACAACACATATGGGGGCGGCAAATGCCAACAAGCGGAATTAAGTGAGGAAAAAGAAAATTACTGCGTTCCTAAGCGTGAACACATGCTAAAAATTTTTATGTAGGCATCATTTTATCATTATTTACCACTAGGAGTGGATTCTTCCCAGCGCTTCCAAGGGCACGGACCTCGAAAACAATGCGCAGCTGGGGCCTTATGGTGACCACGAGTATGAACTTTTATCAGCGCACAATTGAGCAGTGTCGAGTCTTCAACACGAATCGATTCTCTGCAGCCTCCTCACCTCACCGTAGCCTGATAGAGGACTTGAATAATCTTCCTATCGTGCCTCATATCACTAGGCAGCTTGCTTCCGATTTGTCCAGTTCCGTTGCCCACTTTCTTTGCCTTTTTGCACGCGCTTGTGTTTCTGGGTTATACGACGTAATCTCTTAAGTGAGAGAGCAAGTGTTTTGCTCAGATGCTGTCTGCGGCTGCTAAGGACTGCCAAGTGTTAAGGCTTTCTTCTTCCGTTCACCTTCGACTGTAGGCTACGGCAGGTCGATTGAAAAGCCCCCGATGTCCATAGGCTCTACATTCCAAGTGGGCTGTTACTCTTCAGCCAAAGAAGCAGTGTATGTGCTAATTTGGTATTGGAGTCTCAAGTAGTTCTACCTTTGCGAAAGCCCCACGGGTCAGTGGATTACTGCCTGAGTCGTTGCGTATCTTGCGACCACCTGACGTGGCACTGCGGGGAGATTTAAAGATGATCCACGAACAAAGCACCTGCTCGGCTGCGTTAT